TTTACCTCTTAATGTTGAACAGATTCAAATAAGTCCACATACGTCTTTTTAGAGTTGAGGTTCAAAACTAGACACCGCGTAGCGGTAACATAATGACCCCCACATGCACAAATGCACCAGAGCTCAGAAGTCTTTATTCCTAATAAATGTCATGCTACTAGGTGCATTACAAAATTGTAGTGGCTTGGGTGGGGGTCTTTATTTTTTTTGGGGGGCGTTGGTTGACCTGATGGATAGCCCCTCATCAGAGCTAAACAACCAACGAAAATCTGAAGCTTCTATGTTGAACAGTTTCTGAGTTATAAGCATTTTTGCATGTCCAGACACCCCTTTTTCAGAAAAATTGGGGGTCCGGGGGGGTGGGGGGCACTGATTGGTGGGCCTGATGGATAGAGCTTCATCAGAGCTAAACAAAAAAAAATCTGAAGCTTTTATGTTGAACAGTTTCTGAGTTATAAGCATTTTTGCATGTGCCAACACCCCCTCTTTGGATATAGCCCCCTCCTCAAATATGGGGTCTTTCGTAAAACCGTTGGCTGGCGCAGTGTAGGTCAGACTCATCCACAGCCCTGCCAAATTTCTTGTTGATAGGTGCAGCTGTTTTTGTGCTACGGTTGACCAAATATCACTGAAAAAAATAAATAAATAAACAGTATGAAAACAATATGACTCCCGCTTACACTTTGCATGCGGGGGTCATTATAATCTGACTTTACCATGGTCATATCCATGCTGCTGCATGCTGTTAGTGAAGAATGTTTTTGCACCAATCGTTTGTAGTAATTTCCTCGTCTGAAGTGAGGAGCTCATGGGTCTTGGGAGAAAAAAAAATCGTAAGTTTAAATCCAAAGGGAGACTGCTTTATGTTTGACTTAAGATACCTGCGGCTGGTTGGTCCCTGAAGCTGTCAGCATCTTTTCAGGAGCCGGCAAGTAACGTGTCTGCCACTGGCTCTCAAAGGTTTGTTTTTTTTAAAGAGACACGTCAGATGGGGGTGTCTCTGCTCCCCTTTCTTTTTCATTTGTTTTCTTATGAATGGACCGAGTCAGTCAGAATACGCATCAGTACCGTTATGGGGCGTCTTCAGGAAGAATCTCAAATGTTTACGTCCCAGTTTTCATATCAACCTGGCTTTTCGCCTCACATGACTCATACTGTCGTAATTTTTATATACTGTCACCATATTTTGATACCGCAGTATAACATAATACCTTCATACTGCCCAAGCCTAGCAGAAACTACCAACTTTTTTTCTGGTAACACAACAGTCTTTTTTTCTGAATAAGTGGGTTCTAAGGTGCATGAAAATGCAAAAAAAAGTTGAATAATTGGGTATGGTTAACGCAGATAAAAAAAATTAACATTTTCATTTGAAGTTGGGGTTGTGACCTTTTGAACCCCTGATGATATCATCATGTGCATAATTGTTTAAGGAAATGCCATTTAAATAGAAGAGCAAATCAGTACCAACTTGCTGATACCCTTTTTATAAAATATGCGTTTGGAGACTGATGGTCGCATGTTAAATTTTGCTTCAATGGGGTTTTGTAGAAAAAATAACAATAAAAAGAAGACCCTTCATGTTCAGAGAAGAGAAAATTCAAAGCCCAGATAAAAGCCAGTGGGAGTTTGGGTGCTTATTTTGCACTCTGGTGGGATTTGAGAGAAAACCACGAGTTATTGTCTATGATTATTTTAAGTATGCACGATATATCGGCATTAATATCGGTATCGGCCAATATTGGTCATTTTTTTAGAATATCGGTATCGGTCCGATATGTACAACTGGGCCGATATTAACGTCCGATATTGATTTCCCAATTTTTATCTTTGTGTTTCTGTTTTGGGAGGGGAGTTGGTTGGTTGAGCGGCATCTGTTTGATCATGATGGTAAATGGTAAATGGTACTGAACTTATAGAGCGCTTTTTCAAATCCCTCCGGACCCCCAAAGCGCTTTACACTAACAGACATTCACCCATTCACACTCACATTCACACACTGATGATGGCAAACTACACTGTAGCCACAGCTGCCCTGGGGCACACTGACAGAGGTGGGGCTGCCATGCATCGGCGCCACCAGACCCTCTGACCACCATCAGTGATAGTGATAGTGATATTGACACTGCAAAGCCAGGAATAACTGAAGTAGAGCCATGTCAGAGGTCTGGCCGTTTATTTACAATATCAAAAAAAGCACCCAAGTGTGTTTGTGCATATATGTATAATATAATGTGTGTTTGTGTAATATCGGTAAATATCGGTTATCGGCCATAACAGTAATAATTATATCGGATATTGATATCGTCTAAAATTTTCGTATTGGTGCATCTCTACTTATTTTGTTAAGATAGATCACTTAGTATTCTTTTAGAAAAAGGACTTTTACATTTTAAAAAGTTATTTTTCCCCCCGCCGGTCTCACAAAGTGTTTTTCTGTTGTTGTTGTTTTTTGTTCTTTTTTTTTTTTTTTTACTTTAACCACGAACAATTCCACTTTCATTACAACAATTTAGGGTTCTGCTTTATTTTTCTGGAATTAAATGCACAAAAGAACCTGAAGTTTAGACAGTCGTGACCTTAATCCCATTCAGCATCCTCTTGTTGAGCGGGAATGTGATTACCCCCCAAATTTTATTGCCCTGTATAAATGCTGCTGTGTCCAAATGGGTAAATTGCTGCTTTTCTGCAGTGAAAACTTGAGCTGCAATAATGTGCACACATGTGGAGTAACATCAGCTTCTGTTTTTATCAGTTTTAGAAGATCAAACCAGAGACCCGTCTGTTCAAGTCAAACTAAAGTCATTCTTTCTGAAATGAAGACTGAAGGGAAACAGCATTGTTGTTCTCAGTTTTCTGTTTGTAGAGAAACAAAAATGACTAAATTTACAATAGTTACCTCCTGAGAGAAGCTGCAGAAAAAACTTGAAAATAGAGAAATAATCACAAAGCATTATGTTTATATGCCGTTTTTGTTTTTAAAGTAATTCAGTAATAAATTATTTACATGACTCAAAATCAAAAGATCCAAAAGAAAAGAAAAAAACAGTTTAAGGACT